ATATATATATATATAAAGACAACCAACCTCATGTGACTATATTACGACCGCTCAAAATCATGACCCCGATGTCTTATAAATGCTGACAACCAATAAGCAATGGTGGTGTCACAAATCTTTGTTCGTGCTGTTTATTTTAAGTCAAACAAGTCGACAAGAACTAACAAAATTTTATTCTTGTTAAACTCATTTATATATTGAGCACAAAAAAGGTATTCGTATTCAGCTCATTAACTTAGTGAACGAATTGAACATAAGTTTCTCAACGAGCCAAATACAAGCTGTTCGCGAACGACAAGCCATCTTGAAAGCCCTAAATATGAACTGAGGATTTATCATCAATGTTGATATTTGATTGAGAATTTGAAAAGTGAATGGAAGACAATGTTTATATTGTAAATAGAAGGTTCTGGGTGGTCTATATGTAATTGCTAAAGTTTAAAAATAACATTAAATTTTGGGTGTTATATATGTAATTACATAAGAATTATGTGGTTACTTTCAAAAAACATTATATATTAATTATATAATTAACTTTTCTTAGAACAATCCCAGCTGGTTTGCCCGAGTGGTTAAGGGGGAAGACTTAAGATCTTCTGCACATAAGTGCGCGTGGGTTCGAACCCCACAGCCAGCATATAATGAATATTCCCTTATTTTTTCCTTCATTTTCTGACAATAAAGATATTATTATAAGAAAAAGATATATAAACTCTCAAATTTTAAGAATATATATATATATATATATTTGGGATAATTACATAGAAATCACGGAAAAGATTGATATTTACAAATCAATCGGAAATTTGAAAGTATAAATTAAATTATTTCAAGGGTTAATTCTTACGCTATAATTGTTTAACGAATAATTTAAATTTGTCCTATTAAATATAGCTGAACCACGTAATTCATATGGTATCATTTTTTACATTTATAATATAATAATGGTATTATACTATAGAAAGATTTACATGCATAACTCATGTATTTATATATCTAATCTATTCATTTCAATTTTTTGTCTTTCATGGTTAAAAAACTAAGATGGAGTTGAGGTTTAGTTGTCATATATGTAAATATGAGAAATTTCATAAAAGTGCAATCACACTACGGCACATGATTATATTTAGAGCCCGTTTGGGGCGGCTTATAAGTGTTGTTGTGTTTTCAAAAAGCCGTCTAAACGTTTGATCGCATATTTAAATAAATTATTCGAGAATAGTGTTTTGTAAATTCTATTACACCCAGATGACTGGGTCATACATGTGATCTGCGTTCGCCCACAGCTTCCATCGCTCCTTTTGCGCCTCTACCCCTTTTGCTTCAAAAGCCCGCAACTGAAAGCCAGTCGAACCTCCGACACTCTCCATCGTCGAAAGCTAGTTGCCATCTCGAATCCTTCCCCTCTTTCCTGCCACATCACTCGAAAGATGAGTTGAGCTCGTCTCTATTTCTCTCCCACAAGTTTGATCTCCTGTTGTTTACGACGCCTGATTTCGAGAGACCCACACCCCTTCGTCCCACACACCAATGGATGTGAAATATGAAGCTTCACCATCAACATGGCGTCGACGGACACCTCTGCGAAGCTCGCCGGTAGCGTAAATGGTTGAAAGGATGGCATTTCGTCATCCTCCGCCCTAAAAGGTTTGCGATTCTGCTCGATCTATGGATCTGGGGAATCCCACCGTGAAATTTAACTAATAGATGTCGATTTTGAGGGTTTCTATGATACGAGCACTCATGGGGGTTTCTCTATGTTAAGACGCCGCGTTGATGGTGTCTTCCTCTTTTGGTTCAATCTTCTAACTTTTATATATTTGAATTATGATTCTCATGAAACTGTATCAATTAATATATATTCATTTCATCCTTGCCAAAACCCTAATTAGCCGTTTGTTTGGATTCAATTGTTTGATTACATCTGTCGTGTTAAGACGCCACTTTGTGTTTCTTTGTGTTGGCCTTTGTTCTTTCCTCATCTTTTGTTCCTTGAAGGGTACTTATTTATATATTATTTGTGACTGAGAAGAAGCAAGCAGATGACGTACAATCATAACTGCATGGTTTAAATTATAAAACATGGCATGTGATTTAAAATAAAAATTAACTAACTTTTAGTGAATTCTCTAATCAGGTTTTTTTTATTGGAAAATTTACATAAATACCACTCAATTCTTATGTATTTATCACCTTATATATGAATGTTATATGTAACACCTACAAATCAGATGTTCTCAAAACGCACAAACAAAACAGCTAAACAATTTATCAAAAATTGAGGCAGAATGGTCATTTATTCAGAATCAGTAGTTTTTCAAACGTACAAACCAAATAGTGAGATAATTTATCCGGATCAACAGCTTATCAAGATAAACAGCTTATCCAGATAAGCTGGATAAGCTGCAGCTGCCCTAAACAGACCCTTAGTGACGAGAGATTTTGGAGAGCGATGCTAACCACATGATTAATTAGTGATTTCACTTGAGTGTTATAATTTTATTGAAATTTGCATATTTCATCACATTGTTTACATCTATTTGAGAGCTTGATTTTGATGGCAAGCTTATATGATTAATATGTGTAATAGTCGTGATCATCATAGGATTTTTGAATTAATTCATTTTGATAATTTAAATATTGTCAACTTTATCTATTTGTTTATAGAAAATTGAGTTTGTGATTTGCGAAAAAGTATTACATCAATCATGATACAAAAATTCATTAGTATTTCAATCATTGTCTGTCACGTGTATGGATATGTCTCACCGAATATTAAATTATTTAGTTCTTTTACTAAGGGGGGTCAGATTGTACACGTGATAGACAACGATTGGATTTGAGTCCTGATCCTATTTTGCATCAGAACACCTGGTGTAATATTTTCTCTTGGCTTACATTGCTTGGGTTTAGATAACCATTCATTTTATTATAGATTTTATTGGAATTTGTGACTATTCTTTATAAATTTGAAATTAAGAATTAAGTTTGGGCTATATATATAATTCACATTTTATATGTAAGGCTATATATATAACTCAAATCTAAATGAACATGTGCCCTTTTAGCTCTCTTTTGTGGTGTTGCTTTATATAATATAATTTAAAATAATAATATATAATATTCTCCATTAAATCATAGCCCTCAAAACACTCAATTAAAAAAATATATTTTGGATTAAACTTATGAATACTAGATGTATTGCTCTCTTACTAAATAATCATTTTTTAAATTTTGACTAAAATATTATACCAACTAGATTTTCCACTAATGCTTAATGTTCTTCATTATAAAATTATATATGCACTTCCATTCCTTAAAAAGTAGGCCAATCATACATTGACATATCATGATAAAAAATATAAAGTTGAAATTTTTACCACAGAGATCACTTCAAGTTCTAATCTTCAACAAGCAAAACAAGAAATGAACCACCCTTGCCAATTAAAATTCCTTCATAATGCACCAATATTGCGGCTTTGATCGCATTGCATCTCTTCACTCTCTTCTCCCCCACCAATCATAGTCGGCCCCATGCTCTCTCTCTGTTGAATAATCTTCTCCAGAGTCATAATCAATGAAGCCTCTCTTGCTTTTGCCCATGCCCGTTCACTCGCAAGCCGACGTTGCTCTCTCTCATGCCTTGCTGCCTCTTCCTGCCTCCATGCATCTTCTCTTCGAAGCCTCTCATGTTCCATTCGCTCAAAACTTCTCATCATTTTCTCAAACCAAGCTTCTTGCATCATCAACATTTTTTTCACTTGAGATTCTATGAGCACTTCAATCCAAGTTTTTGTTCTGATGTAGCTGTTTCTATCAACCACTAATGTTTCGTCTTCTTCCTCCTCCTCTTCATCAGATGACTCGGAGGAAGTTGAGAAGATAAAAGCATTCATGTTTTCAATCAAGTTCAGTTTTTTAGTGTTGGATGTATTGGAGCTTTTGATGGTGGCGGCGGCAGCAGCGGTGGTGGTGGCGGTGCTGATGTTGGTGGAGGAGGGGCTATAGAGTGCTTCTAGTTGTTGAAAAAATCTATAGTGTTTGCCTTCATGTCTCCCAATTTTATCTTCTTTAGTCTTTTTGTAATATTTATAAAGATTTTCTAGCTTCTCTCTGCACTTCTTCCCGCTTCTTTGATACCCATGCTCTTCTGTCATTATCCTGCGAGTTGGAGTTAGAAGTGAAATCAATCATAATGTGCCATAGGAAGATTTTTTTTTCTTAAAGAATGGTCGGAGGCTATTGTACGAGCCTCCATTCACCCTCATATGCCTGACTATTTCCGGACCGCCTTTACTACCATTCAAACTCTTAACTTGAGGGGACTTACGACATTCAATGAGACCGCTCTACCAAGAAGCCATGTCTGAGTATATATTAATTTAAAATAATAATCACTCACATTCTTCTAATAATGTGCGATTGATTTATAGTATGTTTTTCATATATTTTGAAGTTATTCAAAAAAAAAAAACAAAAATAAGAAATAATAATAAAATAAGAAATAATAATAAAAAATAATAATACAAGAAAGAAAATCCAACATACATACCATAAAATGCTTATATTTTTCTACATCCATCACCAAAATTTTCATTTTCAATGAAATAACATTTTGATGTCATAAACTTATACAAGAAAATCCAAATAAATATAGGTGATAATGATATTTTAGATATGATGTTACAGATTTGAGGGTAAAAATTAAAATTTAAGGGCTAGATATGTAAATACATAAGAGTTATATGGCATGCATGTAAATGCCATTAAGAAAAAATGTACGTAGTATGTATACCTGGCCACCTCGTCCCATAAGGGAGCTTTCTGGCCAGCCTCCCTGAACTGAGGATCAAGCCGAGCTCTAATCTCAAGAAGAGTGAGAGTCTCCTGCTTCGGCCACCGGCTCTGCGAAGAACGAATCCCGCCGTTGTTCGCGGAGATTGGCGACGGATGTTGCAGCGGCGGCGGTGGCGGTGGCGGCGGAGATCGAAGTTGAGGAGGTATCGAGTAGAGATGGTCGGAAGCGGCGCCGGAGAAGACGGGTGGCTTCGAGCTGAGAAGCATGAGCTGCCGGAGCTCCGGCAAAAGGTGGAAGTACTGATCCTCCGACTCCATTAGGAATTGATATGGGAGAGAGGGGGAGTGAGGAATAGCGGCCACTGAGAGAAGAAATAAGGCAGCTAAGAGAGAGAGAAGATAAATTTTATTATGTGAAAAATATTGCCATATGAATTATGATATTAAAAAAAATTAGTAAATTATTGATATGTTTCAAAATTAATGCTATAAGATATTGAAGTGCAATAATAATTAAATTATATTAATTATTATAATTTGTGTGTGAGCCCTGACTCATTACTAGCTGTCTATGAACTTCGGGTTGGGGGTTCGAATCTCAGCCTTTTGGAAGGATTCAAATAGCATACAAAACTGGAACGGGGCCACTCCACGGTCAGTCCAACCTGTAAGGGTGGATCGGCGGTCTCCGACCATCAATCTTATATAAAAAAATAATTATTACAATTGATACTACACTTAGGGGCGTAAACGTGCTGAACACGATCGAGCTCAAACTCTCATTGTGTTTGATAGGTTAGATAATATCATTGTTCGTGGTCGGCTCGTTTATGTTTCTAACACAAAAAATATAGGATGTTAAGTGTTGGGGCAAGGCTTAAATTTTATTATTTGTATCAAAACATCATTTAAATATGATTTAAAAAATTTTTATACTATAAATCTTTGTAGCCTTGTTGCCAATTAATTTATTTTTTAAATACAACTCATAAATTATATACATATTATATATATATATATATAATTGATATGTAGTATTTTGAGCTAAAAAAAAAGCTAAATAAGAACAAACAAATCTTTGTTCGTGTCCAACTCGTTTATATCAAACACAAAAATAGTGTTCATGTCCGCTCGTTAACTTAGTGAACAAATAGAACATGAGCTGCTTGACAAGCCGAACGTGAGCTGTTCACGAACAACGAGCCATTTTGACAGACCTGATTACACTATAGTTTTTTTCTATAATTTATATTAAAAAAATGGATTAAATATTAAGAATTATGAATTAAATGCTCAAAATTATAGGATATTAGGAGTTGTTTGAGATTACTTTTGTTTTTTTTATTTTATTTATATTATTATTTAAAATGAAATATGTTTGATTTTTTTATAATATTGTTAGTTGTGTTTAGAAACATTCAAAATAATTTTTTAAAATAAATAAAAATATGCAAAAAGTAGAATAAAAATATTTTTAAAATAAAAATAACAACGTAAACAAAAAATTTAAAACAAAATTGACCGCAAACAAGCAATCAGAATAAATTATATGAATCTCACAATTCATGTGTATTTATACATCTTACACCTAAATTTTTCTTTTTTTATATTTATACCACCAAAATCTTTTATATCACATAAACATTCTACTCCTCTTAGAGCTCGTTTGAAGCAGCTTATTCGGTGCGGTTGCATTTTGAAAACGCACCTGATCTGTTTGGGTAAACTATGTTTTAGCAGCTTATGCGTTTTCAAAACACAGAAAACGGTGTTTTCACACCACACCTATCTAGGTGCGGTGACAGCTTATTGACAGCGGTCTGATTTTTTCAAAAAATAAAAATTTGTAATAGCCACCGCACCTAGCTTATTAGCAGATTATTTTTAATCAACTTATCAACAATTATTCAATAAGATGCAGCTTCCCCAGACAGACCCTTACTTTTAATGAGTGTAATACATATTTTCATTAATAAGTATGGTGACAGTTAGAAATCTTAAGGGTTAGATATGTAAATGCATAAAAATTGAGTGGTAATTATGTAATTTTATTTTAATCAAAAATGGTAATTATGTAATTTCATTAGTATGATATATATTATAAAAAAATTTGAAGTTTTGAGGTAATGTAAAAACATAGAAAGCAAATGGTATATTTGTAAATAATACAATTTTAAAAATTTCATTGGTGAAAGAGACAGAAAGCGTGGAGTCGGATCGTGTCGTTCACGAAAGGACTGCAAGCTCCGGCAACACGTAAAGTATGAACCAATAATAAAAAGCCACGTGTCGATGAAGAAGTTAGGTGCTGTAGCAATGGGAAAAGCAATGACGGTTCTACAGCGCCTAGCACTTCTGTGGGCGGGAGCTTCTTTTAGTCTTTATTAAAATTTTATTTATTTTTATATTATTTTAACTGATTTATTTAATACTTTAAATCACATAAAATTAATGTATTTATTTATATATAATTAAAAAAGTAATCTTTATTTATATAATAATTTAGGCCACATCTGGTATATTTTTAATTTTGTTTTTTTCTTTTATTTTTAAAAATATATTTGTTAGTATAAATTTTATATATTTATATATTTTTATTTTTAAGAATAATTAACTTGTTTTTAAATATATTAAAAAATTTAAATAATATTTTGCGTGTTTTTAAAAATAAATATAATAAATTAATTTTTAATTTAAATAAAAAAATAAGTGATCTTAAACCCAATCTTACAGTATTTATTATATTAAAATATTGTAGTACAAATATATATATTCATTTTAAAAAGTAATTCTAATGATGATTGATGTGTGCCAGAAAATAAGTTGCATTAGTTGTGGTAACATCTGCAGGCCACAGAGGTCGGAGTTGGGAGCCGCATGAGCTGTGAACCACGTAAATCGTAGTGGTGGGCTGCAAGAGGAGAACTTTAGGAGTTCAAAAGGAATGTCAATGTATCTTGAGTGCGATGATTATAAACAATTATTGCTAGTTGTATTATTACACTGTCTTTGAGAGACACATTAGTAGTCAAGTGAGTTGTGGATCACGCAAACTGTAATAATGGGCTGCAAAGAGAGAGCTTTAAGAGTTCAAAAAGAATGTCAATGTATCTTGAGTGCGATAGTTATAAACAATTGTTGCAGAATGTATTGTTACATTGTCTTCGAGATGCATCACTACATCGCAAGCGAGATGCATCATTGCACATTGTTCAGGTGCTTTGTTACATCATATTCAAGACGCATCATTAAAACAACTTGAAGGGTGTGTTGCTACACTGTATATAGGACACGTCGTTTTATCATATTCGTGTCGCATTATTATACCATTTTCGGGATACGCTGTTATACGATATACAAAACGTGCATTTCACTATCTTCAAGCATTGTTATACCATATTCGGCGTATGTTGTTACACCAATTTCAGGGCGTGCTGCTGTATAAAATTCTAGACGATGCGCTGCTTGTCGAGCTGATTTAAGCTTTTTTAGGGTTCATGTTTCATTATTATTTGAAACTTTATTCATTTTGTTGTAAAGATTCAACAATTTGTTGTTTTTTTTTTCAATAAAAAATCATATTATTGAGGAATTGCATATAATTTATAAATAAAAAAAGGAGTTGAATGCATTCAAAATAATAAGGGTAAGAATATCGAATAACTCTTATTTAATCATGAATTTTAAATAATGTTATTTTAGTAATTAAGATTTAAGTCGAGATATTTTTGTTTCTAAAAAAATTGCAGCAAAGATTTTATGATTTTTTAGCGCAACTAAAATATATAAAACACAGTTAATATGTTTCCTGTCAAAAATATATAACAACTACATAGATAGCACTTGAAACATTGCTATTTATAAATCTAACACCCTTTTCATTCATTTTTCAAATGCTCACTCAAATGTTAAAATTCACAATAAAGATCTTATTTGTTAAAACGCCAACTAATAGACCCGCATGATGTGCTATTATTCGAGGATCACCGCGCCATGAAGATTCAAACCATTGACCTGATGGGACTTACAGAGAACCCCGCCAACTAATAGACTGCGCGCGCACACACAGATAGACTGCGCGCGCGCGCGCACACACACAACACACACACGCGCACATATATATACATATATATACATATATATAGGCACATATAGGCACATATATAGACATATATATACACAAATATAGACACATATATACATATAAATATATACAAAGGGATACAAATCATCGGGTGACGAGTCTCGTTGGATACTCCACATAGGCAACAACAATATTCACCCAAGACCTTGCGAGAGAGAAGATCCGACCGAGGTGACGAACAGATCAGACGTACGTGACACATGTCATGTAAGAGTTAAGTCAAACATCAAGTGAGCCACGACTCACCCAACGAAATAGGTCGACCCATCAGTTGACTATTCGACCGAAATAATAGGTCTAGAAGAACCAATTGGCCAAACCTCTTGTCAAGATGACCGACCATATTTGGACTCTCGACATAGACGAATTACAGTATGTCTGACGAACACCCCCCGACCAACAATATTCACTTAAACTCATAAGTCATTTTAAACCATTATATTTGTCAATATTATGACGATCATTAATTCATATTATACTCATCCCACTTTCCTTTATGGTACTAGGGTTAAATAGGTGTGGTTTCAAGTGGAATATGGGGCTTCATCTAGAGGAAATTACCGTGCTCTCTCTTTTTCTTGCCTCTTTGATTCCCATTCTCGGGGTGTGCTCACTAAAAAAAGAAAAATAGGATTTAACAATAATATTTCAAACCTAAAATAAATAAATAAATAAATAGTTAAAAAGGAATGATCGAAGTCTATTAGACGAGCCTCGATCATTCCTAGGTATGCTAAATATTTGAGTGTCACACCCTACACACGGATGGATTCAAACCTGTGACTTGAGAGAACTTACGATCTTTAGAAAGACAGTTCTAACAAAAGGTCATGGTACGCGCGCACACACATACACAAAGAGACACAAAGAGACACGCACACACACAGCCATAGACAAAAATAAATACAACATGCAGACATACAAACACATATACATACATACAACACATACATACATACAGACACACACACGCACATACAGACAGAGACAGAGACACAAACACACACAGAGACACACACGCACGCGCACACACACAGAGACAGACACACACACACACATAAACATAAATACATACATATAAACATACATACATACAAAATACACATACAAACATACAGACACACAGTAACTTATTAGCAATTCATCAAGTTAGTAATAGTTTATTAGCTTGCTAATTAGCAATTCAATTTGCTAATTATTTATTAATTTTTATTATTTCCTTCTTCCATAAATGTCATGTAAAATAATTTATCAAATTATGATTTTAACCTTCTCATTTTTTTTTTGATGATGATGAAACAAAAGGTTAATAATATAAAATTGAGGTTTCTCAGTAACACATCTTAAGAAATCAACAAAAAAGAGGAGGTTTCTAATGTAATTACATATCTAACACCTAAAATTTGACATTTAGGTACATAACATTTTAGTGACATAATCACATCAAAACATATACAAGAAAAAGACGAATGACAACAATATAAGATAAACCAAAAGGATAATTACAGACCAAACTGGTTATTTACAAATCAACCACCATCTTTTATCCTTTTTTTTCAAATTCTCACTCAAATATCAAAATTTATAATAAAATTGCAACCCATATTTTCATTTTTATCAAATTATCGATAGCTTGAACTTGGCAGGCGTAAATACATCAGTTCAATAGATCAAAAAAATCACTTAGGGAGGCTAATTTGTAAATATCAATATTTTGAGTGGTATGTATGTAATTATCCAATAATAATAATGATGATGATGATGATGTGCAGGTAAAAAAAACATCATAGTTTTAAAATAATCACAGAAGAGGCAACAAAAGCAATAGTTTCACTGACAAATTCATAAAAGAATTCAGACTTCTTCTATAAGTTGCATAAGAAAACCTCACCATTAATGTATATAACCTTCTGCCACCTTCATAAGTTTGCTTCTCAGATTGGAGAAGGTGTTGTTCTGCCATAATTGTATCCATCATTGTAAGGCTTTCTAATTCTCAAATCTGAAGAAGACTTCAAGGGTACATGCTGGAAAGTCGGTCTATCTGACGACAAATCAGGGAGATAAAGAGGATATCTGCCGGGAGAAGAGACTGAGAAACTCGAGCTCGAGCGTCGATCAAAATGCTGCTCGGCGGACGAAACTGGAGATGCGGATTCAACAAACCCAGCCGGGTTGCGGTTTGTATGCACCTTGTGAGCATGAGTATACGGACTCGAGGGGTATTGAACATCGTAATCCTTCGTAGAAGAAAGTTTCGATCCAGCTCCAGCATAAGGAGAGGAGAATTGATTTGGATATTCGTTACCCATCCCGAGATCGAGACGGGTAGCAGCTAATCTTAATCCAGAACCATAGAGGTTCATTCCAGAGAGAGCTTGGGGATAAGAATCTGATGGTAACCTGAACAACGCTGAAGAATCAATTGGAACATTAGGCTTCATTGGAGAATTAGGCCTTCTAACAAGTTCATGATTTATAGATATCTGAGCTTGCTGAAGCGACTGCAGCACACATCCCAAGTTCGTGCCAATCGGTCGAGATATCATTTCGTCGGTAATAGGGGTGAGTTTCTTGATTGATAAAGTATGAGCTTGTTCATGCCGGATTACCGGTTTTTCAAATCCACGAAGGTTTTTTCGATTATCTGGAGCATAGAGCTCTTTAGATTTCGTAAAGCTTGGCTCGAGACGTGCTTTGTTTGTCAAATTAGAGCCATGTAGCGGCGGCACTTTCGATGCTTTAGAAGTAGCTTCAATCGCATTAAGGGAAGAAGATCCATACATTGGGTTTGACAAGCTGTTGTCGTGGCCATTTGGACCGGTTCTGCCGGGACTTGATGCCGAAGTCGGTGATGCACCTTCCGAGAAATTATCACCATTTACTTTTTTGTTGGTCATTTCACAGTTTTTGCATCTTGCGACATTTTTATCCTCGGTGAAAGAAGTGCCTTTAACACTTATTTTTTCGTCTTCGTGTCGAGGAACTTTCGAGTCGACAGAGCAGTTGCTGTTTTGGACCATATTAATCTGGTTAACAGGTTCATGATTGTCCTGAGGTTCACAAACAAAAAGAAAAAGATTGCATAATTGATAATAACTATGTTGCTAAATTTTATAAGAGAATTTGCATTCATACCATAATTTCTTATGTGTTTACATATCTAACATCAAAACATTCACATTTATATCCAAACCACTTCAATCTCTCAACATAACATCAAAAATATTATTAACATGATCTTTTTAAAAGTGAAATATAGCTTTTCATGCATAGTTTTATGACACCAATGTGACGTGCAAATATCAAACTTTAGGTATTAGATACGTACTTGCATAAGAATTGTGTGGAATGTATGTAAATTTCCCAATTTTATATTGTACATAGGTACGGCGCAAGAAAGAAATGAATCAAAATTTAATATCATTGTGGTATGCTATGAATAAAAATAAAAAATAAAAATGTTTTGTGTTCACATTAGAGACATGGCTAGATGATAATGGCATTAATTTCAAGGGGTTTCTCCTCAATACCAACATATATAATTAATTTGAGATTAATCTAAACAGAATATGGCTAGATCAACTTCCTGAATGCCATCTGACAGACTGAAAGGCAAAAAAAAGAAAAAAAAAGTTTAAATTTATCATAATTAATTGCATAGCTAAATTAACTCTCTTGATTATGTATATCTCCTATTATGTAATATTATTGATGTTGTATAAATATGGGCTGAAAGGATTGAATAAAGATCAAGTAGTTTCGTCTGCAATTTTGTCAGTTACTGTTGACCACTTATTTTATGAGGTCTACATCTCCCCCTCCTAACTCATCTTTAGAGTCTAGAATCTAGCCCGAAGAACTCCTTAGTTGGAACCCAATTTAGAAGCAAAGCTATATCTTTACTCTGCGTAGTCTAAAATGTGTTTGGCTAGATGTTTAACACGCGACTTTCGATTTTTAGTTCATCATTGATTAGGTTATTGAAAATCTAAACGTCGAGTCCCCTTTTAAGTTTTCGGTAAGTCTCAAGGGGACCCTTTGAGTCGTTGAGGCCCCAGTAGATCCTTCAGCTCACATTATGGACCAGGATGGTTAGGCAAGAGAAGACCCTTAGAGATTAGGGTTGTAAGTGAGTCAAGCCGACGCATAAGCCTACGTGAGCTTGGCAGAACAAGTGGCTCGCGAACCTAGCTCAATGAGTTAACAAGCCAAGGCCAAGTTATCCCCGACTCGTCTTGTTAGCTTGTGAGACGGTTTTAAAAAAATGTATATTAATGTAAAATATACTCAAAATATATTAAATTTGAAGATTTTATCTTTAAAGTATTATAAATGTTTAAAAAATAATATTTTGTATTTTATATTAAGTGATTTCTAATTATTTCTCTCCTAACTGATCATTTATATTTATCATTTTATTATAACATTACCTTAAATTAATATTATCTCTCTTTTATAATAAAGAAGCCGACATGAACTCGATAACTTAAGCTCGAGCTCAATCTTAAACTCTATAAAAATAAACAAGCTCCAGCTCAAGCCGAGGGTGGTTCGAGCTTGACCGGACTCGTTTACACTCCTATGTAAAACCCATCCTGTCAAGCCTGAACATTCCTTTTAGCTCACTCTTTTGGTTTAAGACGAGCACAAAATGTTTGAAGTTCATTGGGCTAAGCATAAAATCAAAATGAAAACTAGTTGATCAAAATTAAATTTAATCAAACTTGAAATTAAATCCAATAAATCAATCTAAAACTTTTTAAGCCAAAATTAATTCAATAAACATAAACTTAAATAAAATAAAATTTTAAATGGATCCAAATTAATTAACTAATTAAATTTAAACTTAAATTACTTCAATTTAAATCATTTAATATACTAGAAACCTTAAAAACCTAAATCAACTAAACCTTAAACCGACTAAATTAAGATCCACTTAAACTACTTAACTCTAATTAGATTAAAAACAATTAAACACCTAGTCCATACTTAAATCAACCTAAACCAAACTAAATAGCAAAGCCAAAATAAATTAAATCCTAAATCAACCTAAACTGGTTTAATACAAACCTAAATCAAGCAAATTTAAAACTAAACAAACAAATAAGAAATTAATCAAAATTTAAAAAAACTCTTGATCAAAACTTGAACAAGCTCTTAAAACTTAACTAAATTTTGGATAAAGTATAAACAATTCCCTAATCAAGCCCAAACATAAATTTTAATGATAATATTAAAACTAGAGTAAGATAAAACAAACTCAAACCCAAAACATAAAATAAATTAATCACTAAACTAAAACAATTAAAGTTGAAGCCAAAATAAATTTAAACCCACCTCATATTCCCTCCAAATAGCTCCCCACCATTTGCAACTACCCAAGCAGCACTCCACAACCATCCTAACTGCGTTGGACACTTGGCAACCCTTAATTGGATAATTTAAAACTACCAAAGTAGAACAAAACATCTAACAACAATAGGAAGACTTTCGGTTTGTCAAATCAAGAAAGGGTTGAGGTATTTATTCTTTCGGCAGCAATAGACAAGAGGGTCAAATATTTTTTTCTATAATGCAAGTAAATCTCCAACGCCATTCTCTTGATCGCACAGCAAACCGTAGCTTCTCCCCTCTTTTGTTTCACTACAATGGCATCGAAATCCACTCGCTCTCCATTTTTATGAAATCAGAAGTCGAATGGATCTTGACAAATTGTCTCTAGCCCCTCTCTGGATTCACACCCATAATCGAAGATAGAACTCCCCCATCTCGTGGCTTCGATTTGCAAAACCTAAGGAAAACCAAAACCACCTCCAGCAGAGCAACTCTCTTCCTATTGTTCCTTTAGTTAATGCAAGCAACTCCTCCCTTCAGTTTGTCCACATCGGCCGCCGAACCCACAAAGTCTCTCTCTCACACACACACACATACACACCACCTCCAGCAGAGCAACTGATGCGAGTGCTCGATGCGTCCCTGACGTAGGTGCGGAAGGCGCCCCAACATAGGGCACTAAAACAAGTCAGCAGGCTAAACCGGCTGGCTATTTTTCCCACTGGGCCCAGGCGAGGAAGCTTCGAGCATTCGGTAGGGGGGCAGGACTATCATCCTTCCTTTAGTACTCTTCTCCATAAAGGAGGTCTTAATGGCTATTTTTCTGGATCTGTCTTGCCTCCCAACCCCTTCATCTTGTGTGAAAGTTTACTTCTTTATTTCTTTCATTTTTTTTTCCTCCAATGAGTATAAATTATTGTTTCCTGATTGTAGGGTTCAGTTTTTGGTTGTGATAGCTTTCATATTTCATGTATGGAGTCATTTTCTCATATTTATACAGTGTTGTATTTGATAATAGATGGTGCTCTGACTGTATACTACTCCGAGGTGGTGTTGCATCCTTCCAATCTCCTCCTATCTTCTCCCACCACTTCCCTAATCGCCGGCCATCCCCATCGCCCTCCACAGCTCTGTCGCCACCTTTACTATCACCACAACTTGTTGCCCAGCCATCCAGTCCCCTCATTCCAACACCCGTACTCCTCCCCACATCCACCTAGGTTGCCCGATCCTCCAAGTCATCTACCCACATCCTAACACCTCTTCCCTGCAACAACCCTTGCCGTCCAACTCACCTAAAACCCACCAAACACCATTCCAACCTAGGTTGCACCCATATCCTAACACCTCTTCCTTGCAAAAACCCTTGTTTTCCAGCTCACCTAAAACCCACCAAACACCATTCCAACCTACCAAATAGCCACCCGACCTTCCCCACCTTTCCCTAAGGCCTCGTCGACGCTACCACTGCCTTTGTATCTCATCCTACAGCCCTAACTAGAGGTTAGTCTATTATTATAATTCCTTTTTTTGTTTGAGTAGTGTCGTAACCCTATTTCTATATTAATAAAAATTTACTTTTGTGTTCTGCTAAATCCTAACTAGTTTCGATATCAGCTCTTGCTATTGTTCCTTCAATTAATGCAAACAGCTCCTCCCTTCGGTTTGCCCACACCGGCCGCCGAACCCTCTCTCTTTCTCTCTCTCTCTCTATATATATATTTTGGCACAAGCATAGAAAGGCCAACTTCCCTTTCACACAAGAAAAGCAAGAAAGAACCAAGCCAATCAATTGCCACCCCCCCCCCCCCCCCCCCCCCCCCACACACACACAACAAAAACACACTCACACACTCTATCTCTCTCTCAATTTTGGCACAAGCATAAAAAGGCCTACTCTCCCTTTCGCACAAGGCTGGCAAGGAGGAACCGAGCCAATCAATCCCACTCCCTTCTAATTTTTTTGTCTCTTGCCCCAGGTTTCGGACAATATAACCTCAAAACTCGCCTTCGAGTTTGCACGACACAGCAACAACAAACACCTCTCCCTTCTTCTTCCAAATTTCCTCCAAATTCAATTAAAAAATCTGCTTCAATCTTGCCACTAACCATGCCTTTAATCTTACATAAATCTTACCCAAATTCTGCCACTAAATAGCCCTTTAAATCTATATAATCTTGCATAAATTTGACACAAATTATGCTACTAAATAGCCCCCAAATCTGATTAAAAAATCTTCTCCAATCTTTTTACCAACCAATCCTTTAATCTTGTAGAAATTCTACCCAGTTTTTGCAATTAAACAATCCATAGAACCCCTTTAAATCTTGCATAATTACTACACCATAAATCAGATCATTAAACCACTTTAAATTTTGCTTACAATCTGATCAGGTTCTACCACTAAGCCGCTCCAAAATCTTTTCTAAATCATATACAAATCCTAATACTAAACACAACCTGTTCCACATCAATTTCAACGATCATCAGATTCAGGTCGATCAAATTTACTGCCTTGGTCAGCTCCAATTTAAACAATCGATTGGAGGATGCCTGTTGCATTCAAAAGGAGCTTAGAACACATCTATCTGCTTGGATCGCCTCCAAATTTTCAGGCGTGTCTCATATCACCTCCTTTTTGCAATCAATTCTGATCCTTTTTGAAGCGAAATATAGTTTTATATAGATCTAGCCATGAGATTGGTTTAGGTTAATATCTCGATCCTTTAGAGTGAACATAATTTGAGTGTTGATGTTTTATTTTCTTGGATCGAACTGTTTTGATTTATGGTTAATGGTTGGCTAAAGGTCAGACGTGATCCTGTGGCAGTCCGATCGTGCACCGTTTTGTGAACGATTCCAATTAGGTCGAACACAAATTTATCCTCCTCACAACATAATGCTAGGTCTTTCACTCTGGGATGCCAACTGAATATACCCTTCCTACAGGTGTCGAATTCTTAAAGATTTCACACTGGCAACCCAATATGGAATGTGAATCTATGCCCTTTAAGCCCCTTTAATGAATTTCTTGTGAATTGTTAAAGATTTCTCTAATTTTTATTTGAATTATTTTTAATCCAAATTCCTATTGGATGACTGAGATGCCGCCTCGATATAGCCTTCTTACAGGTGTTGAATCAGAGTGAAAGAACTAGCATCATGTGGAGAGAACGATAGATTCACATTCAACCTAATCATAGCGATCATAGGATAATGTACAAACAGACAAACACGGGATCACTTTCGACCTCTCACAAACCAACAACTATAGATCAGAACTGCTTGATTCAAGCGAACAAAACATCAACACTCAAATTCTTTCCACCAGAAAGGATCAAGGTACCATCCTAAACCTATCCTACGGTTAGATCCATAAAAACTATATTTCGCTTTAAAAAGGACCCAAATCGAGAACAAAAATAAAATGATTTGAAAAATATCTAAAAATATCAAAGTGATCCGAACAATTAGATGTGCCCTAAGCTTGGCCTGAGTGCAACGAGCAACCTCCAATCGATCGTGCAAACTAAGCTTAGTAGAATAATAAATTTGATCTCGTTTGGATAATTGTTGAAATTGATGTTGAATATGCCGTGTTTGGTAGTAGAATTTATATGGGATTTACAGAAGATATGGGGGTTGTTACCATGGTAGGATCTGATCAAATTTTAAGCAAGATTTAAAAGGGGTTTGAAGAGCTAGTTGGTAGTAGCAAAATTTAGATAGGATTTATGCATGACTTAAAGAGTTTCAAAGGATTTAGTAGCAAAATTTGGTAGGATTTATCTTAAGATTAAAGAGCTGGTTGGTAGAAAGGTTGGACCATGTTTTTTTAATGAAATTTAGGGCAGTTTAGTAACATAATTTCGGTATGATTTATGAAAGATTAAAGAGTTATAAAGGGTTGTTTATTGGTAGAATTTGAGTGAAATTTATGTAAGATTAAAGGGGTTTAAATGGTTGTTTAGGCAGAATTTGAGAAGGATTAATGCAATAATAAATGGGTGATTAGTGGAAAGATTGAACAATCTTTTTTAATAAGATCTGGAGCATATTTTGAGCAAGATTTTGGTGAGATGTTTGTTGATGATGTGCTGTGCAAACTCAAAGGCAAAATTGGCGATTGTGTCATGCAAAACCTGGGGCAAAAGACAAAGAATTGAGAAGAAGGCAAAGGGATTACGAAAGGCATAGTAGACCTTTCTATGCTTGTGCAAAAATCAAGAGAGAGAGAGAGAGGCTATGATTCGGTGACCGGTGTCAGTGAACCGAAGAGAGAAGATATTAGCACAATCTGAAGGAATAATGAGGAGAGCTACTCGGTTAGAGGCAACCGTTTCCTCTAGGTCTCATGAATCAAAGATGGAAGATGGAGTTCTCGCTTTGATTATGGGTTGTGAATATAGAAAAGTGTGAGAGAGAAGATGTAGAGATCCTAGTTAGCTTCTGATTTCACATAGATGGAGAGGGACACCACTGTAGCAAAACAAAAGAAGGGAGGAGTTGCAATTTGACATGCGATTGATAGGACGATGGGGCTTTGTGAACATAACAAAAATAAAGATCGAACCCTCTTGTCTGCTGCTTCCGAAAAAATAAATAGCTAAACCCTTTCTTGATCTCCCCAGATCGAAAACCTTCCTATTGCTATGAGGTTTATTGTTCTATTTTAGTGGTTTTGAATCATCAAATTAAAAGCTACTAAGTAAGTCTTGCTACTAAATAAATAAATTTGTTTTATTTAATTTTAATTAAGTGCTTGTTCAAGTTTTGATTAAGAGACTATCTAAATTTTCCTTAATTTATTATTCATTTGTTTAATTTTAGCTTTGTTTGATTTACGTTTGTGTTAATCAAGTTCAAGTTGATTTTGGATTTAATTGATTTAGGTTTTGTAATTTAGATTTGTTTAGTTTGATTTAAGTTTGGACTAAATGTTCAATTGATTTCAGTTTAATTAGACTTGAGTAGTTTAAGTGAATTTTAATTTAGATGATTTAGGTTGTTCTATGTTTATAATTTGATTACGTGACATAAACTTAATTCATTTTAAGCTCAAGTTTAATCAGTTCATTAATTTAGATTTATTTAAATTTTATTTGATTTAAATTTAATTATTGAATTAATTTTGGTTTAAAGAGTTTTGAGATTGATTTCTTAGATTTAATTTCAAGTTTGATTGATTATTTTTCATTTTGATTTTATACTCAACCAAATTAGAGTTTAAGATGAACTTCAAACATGTTGATTTCATCTATAACCAAAGAAGTGAGCTAAAAGGAAATATGTGGGAAAGTTAACTTGGGGTCTCCATTAGCCTAATCATAAAAACTATGGGCACCTAGGGCTTCAAAGGTTCAAAGGTCCCCTAAGGCTATCATATCAGAAACCTAGAGGGAACTCAAACCCTAAAGCTATGAGAAACCTACAGGGAACTCAAACATAAATTTTTTAATAACTAATCAATGATCAACTCAACATCTAAAGTTGTGTTAAAGATCAAACCAGACACAATTTAGACTAAGGGGAGTAAGGATATAATTTTGATTCTAAATTAGGTTACGACTATCAACTAGTCTTCTAGGGCAGCCACTAAGAAGTTAATAAGGCTAGACCCTAGGCTCTAAGTATGTGTTGGAAAGAGAAGTACAAACCTCGTAAAAAATGAAGTTAAAATTACCCTAATCCAAATTTCATATAAATTTGCTTTGTAAAAGTAAAAATTATGATAACCATACCAATTTATTATAATATTTTAGATTTTCTTAGAAAAATAAAATTAATTATTTCTAATAATAAAATTTATAATCTTTTCATTTGTGAGTCACAAATCTAAGTAATTCTTACTGTATAATTAGATAAAAATTTTTGATTTAATTATTGACAAATTGCAAATGAATCTAGTTTATAATATTCCCATAGAGAATGCTAATATTGGTAAATCATTGATAGATGGAAATTAATCCAACTAATGAGATCATAAAATTTAATAGCAATTCGAATCGCTATTTTTTCCTTTCTCCTTGTAAAGTTCCTTTTATGAAATATGTGATATTATGCTTCGTTGTGCGATATATATTAATAAAAAATACAAATATTGTTTGATTTAATTATATATTTTATATTAGTAAATCATGAATAGAGCATTGCATCCAAGTGTTATAATTAACTTTTTATGGTTTTCCTATGTCTTCATTTATATGTGATCTCTTGTGTCAGTGCCTATGTTTCCTTGATGTCCCATAAGCACCTTTCTTAATTCAAATTTGCCATGATCATGCCTAACCATCTTACAAATAGCAAATATGCAAATCTAGTGTTGTTCATGAACATACCATTTGTTTTTAGAGTATGAAAAGATTATAAAACCCCATAAATTTTGCTTGATTTAAAAGCAAATGCTATCCGAGAACATATAGCTCTTTATTATAATTATAAGGAAAATTTACATACATAGCACAAAATCCTTATGCATTTACATATCTAACATCCAACATTTGATATTTATACTTATAACATCTTGGTGTCATAAACTCATGCATGAAAAAATAATGATAGAAATATTTAGTGTCATATTAAAGATTTCAGTGGTATTCATATAAATATGAATGTTTAGGTGTTGGATATGTAAATAAATAAGAATTATGTGGTATGTATGTAAATGCCCCTGAATATGAAGTATGCTTGACACAACACACTGTGCTAGTTCAAGCACAAGACGACTCCATTAATCTACTATGGTTTCTTAGCATTTGTAGCACCTACAAAAGTTCATTTTTTGAACCCCTTTTGTTTAAGAAATGCATCGTTGGAAGTGGATTGGAAGGTCAAACAGCTCTAAATTCATGGACAAAGTGAAGAAATGACAAGAAGGAAAGTGTGTGTGTCAAATGGGCCATTTACATAAATACCACCTAACTCTTACGTATTTACAGATCCAACACTGATACTTAACTTTTTACATCTATATCATCAAACTCTTTCATATAACATGAAAAATGCCACCACTTTGACTTTTAAAAAGTGAAATACACCTTCCAATGCATAGGCAATGTGGAGTGTACTTAAAAATTAAAATTTAGGTGTTAGATATATAAATACATAAGAATTGATTGTTATGTATGTAAATCTTCCGTTATGTATGTAAATCTTCCAAAGAAAATTTGATTTCAGCCATTGTCGACTCTACACCTTCGATAAAAAAACCATGTTCTAGAGCGAAAAAAAAATGGATTTTGAAAGAAACGAAGTACTAAACCCATGAAATAGATGCGAAAATTCATCAACTATTATTTAATTATGAGAAAAATGAATATATAAAATTAAAAACTCATCATCTTCAGAAGAATCATACCAGCATTGACATCTCTGTCCCATTAAACTTCTCCTCCCATTCCTTCTGAGCATTCTCCATGGCTTGGAACTGAGTGATAAGCTGAGCCTGCTGCTCCAAAGCTCTTTCCATTTCGTCGTTTCCTCCATTTTCACTTTCTCTATTTCGTCCGTCAGGACGAAATGGTAATGAGGAATCGAGAGAAGATTTGTTCATTTTGGTTTCAGAAACTTCTAAAGGGTATTCATGTTTCTCATCAAAATCATCAGAATGTGCTGTAACTCCATCTCCATGAGCATGAGGAAGGCTGGGTTTCTGTAATTCATTCTCTGAAGCTGATCTGAAATAGAAACAGGTAAAATGTTAGTAATAAATATTTTTTAAGGCATTTACATACAAATTTTAATATTTACAAGCAAAGTACTCAAATCATTAATATCACATCAAAAATATTACTATCATCTACTTTTAAAAGTGAAATTACACATTTTCATGCATAGATTTATCACACCAAAGTGTTATAAGTGTAAATATGAATGTTTAGGTCTCAGATATGTAAATATATAAGAATTGTGTGGTATGTATGTAAATCTTCCATATTTTTATTTTAGTTTCACACGTTGCCCCTTCAAGTCATTTAGTTTCACACATTGTGTGGTATGTATGAAATTTACAGTTTTGTTTAGAAATTTTGGCCAATACCTACCTATAAATAAATGATCAAGGTAGGAAACTCAAGAGGCAATTAAAAAAATAGAAGGAAGATTTACATGCATACCACTAAATTCTTATGTATTTACATATCTAGCACATAAATTTTTACACACATGCCACCTTACCTTAGCACGAAAAGGTATATTTCACTTATTAAAAGTTAAAGTGGTGGTATTGATGATGTGATAGGAAAGATTTAGGTGGTATAAATGTAAAAAAAAAATGAAATTTAGGTGTTAAATATGCAAATACATAGGATTTGGGAGGTATGTAAATGCCCCAAAATAGAATGCAATTCTTGTAATTCATTATTTCAGTCTTACAACTATAAAAAAAACTAGCTTTTATGTTGAAATAAAAGGAAGGGGCTTTTACATACATACCACCCAATTCCCATGAATTAACATATCTAACACCTAAATTTTACTTTTTACATTTGTAACACCCAAATCTTTAATATAACATCAAACATACCACTATTTGAACTTTAAAAAAAGTGAAATATACCTTTCTTATGCATAGGCAAGGTGGCATATATGTAAAAATTAAATTTTAGGTGTTATATATACGCAAATTCATAGGGAATTGAGTGGAATAAATGTAAATCTTCCCAATAAGAAAATGCTAGAAAGAAGAAAAAGGAATCTACTGCTTACCCTACATCCGACTTCTTAATCTTACGACATGACTTTCCCGGGCGTCTCGGGGAGGATTTTGGAGCACCGGCGAAGCTGCTCCTCTGTCTACACCTATTCTGCTTCGTTTTCACCTTCTCCTGTGAATCTAAGGAACTCGCATGGCTTTTCCAGGATAAGCGACGGTAAACAGAGGGAGAACCATCGATATCTGAACACGACAAGCCATCGACAACCTCACTTCGATCCATTCTCGAAGAAGTAAGAGATTTATCATCTTTAACATCCTCGCTAATTATACACTGACTACTCTCTTGGTCAGTAAACAGATTGTTTTTTTCGTCGGCACTCGAATCAGTTAACCCTGAGACACATGTGATTCCTTGAGTTTCAAGTATGGAGAGAACTTCTTCAGCCGCCTTCTCGGCTTTCTTCCTCTGGATATTCACCATCCTGAGCTGTTCTTCTAACTCAATAACCTACCAACCAAAATATAAAATATAAACAAATAATTTAGGGAAACTTACATTCGTAGAACACAAATCTTATGTATTTACATATCTCCCCCCTAAACTTTGATGTTTTAAACCTATACATGAAAAGATATATTGCACTTTCAAAAAGTGATAAAATTGCTACTTGTTATGTAATATTAAATATTTGAGAGTTATGTGTGTAAATATGAAATTTTAAGTGTGAGATGTGTAAATACATAAGAATTGTGTGCTATGTATGTAAATGCTGATTTAAGAAAACAAGAGGGTATTGACATAAATACCACCCAATTCCTATGTATTTACAAATCTAACACTTAAATTTTACTTCTTATATTTATACCACCCAAAATTTTCCTATTTACATATAAAAAATACCACCATTTTAAATTAAAAAAATGAAATACATCTTCTCATGCATAGGTGAGGAGGTATGCATGTAAAAATTGAATTTTAGATGTTAGATATATGTAAACACATGGGAATTGAGTGGCATGCTCGCAAATCTTTAAAAATTTAAATGACAAAAAGAATATGATGCATCATACATACCCTTTGAGACAGCATTTCTGCTCTCTGTCTTGCAGTTTTAGAAACAATTCTTTCAGAAAGTAACCTTGCTCGCAGAAACTCCACATTCATCGCTGTTTTCTCGTCCATAACGTCAAATTTTTATTCTTTTCTTACAGAATTTGCTGATTTAATATCCTCTGCATGATCAAACAAATGCAGATTTAAATCTAATGCAAGCCACAAATATAACAATTAAAATTGCAATTTGTGAAAAAAAATATGAGTACTTTCCAGTTGTTCATTATCAAAAGTCCAGTTGCCATATAATACTTGCTATATTCAGGTAATCTGAAAGAAGTTTCTTGTAATCCATTGATTGGCAGGGTCAAACTAGCAGTCACCATGAAGTTTCCTGTAGTTTTGTCATATCCAAATACATATTTGGAAGATTTACATATATAACACTCATTCCTATGTATTCACACAGCGAACACCTAAAATTCAACTTTCACATCTATACCACCTGACCTATGCATGAAAAGATGTACTTCACTTTTTAAAAGTTAAAATAGTGATATTTTTTATGTGATATGGAAGGTTTGTGTTTGGCATGCTACTTTTAATAGGATTTACATAATTGTTTAATGTAAATCCAGCCAAATGCCATTTCTGAGTTAGATAAATTCGATGCCATGTTAAATCCATATTTTCTGATTTTGTTTATTTTGTAGCTTAAATCCGGATTTAATAAATCAACGGATTTAATTTAGGAAGAAAATACTTCAAAGAGATTTATGTCAAACACATCAAATAGATTTAACTGGATTTAATCTTAGTTGAACCAAATATTACTTCGAATTTAACAATATTTGAATTTGATAAATCCATATTTATCAGGTTTACTAAATCCTATTTAACTTAAATCCTATTTACAGCCAAACATCTCCTTGGGCGGTATAAATGTAAAAGGTAAAATTTAAGTGTTAAATATGTAAATACATAGGGATTGGGTGGTATGTATGTAAGACGTAGCAATTCCTGCAAGCTTTCTATGAACTTTTCTAATTTCATATTTGAATTATATAATAGGATCGGCAGGGGGGTCCTATACAAGATTGAAGAAGAGAGCTATTCCAAACAGTGCTGAGCAGCAGGAGAAATTGTGATACTTTGGATATGATATGATATGAAAGATTTGGTAGTAAAGATGTAAAAAAGTTCAGGTTTTAGAACTGTAAATACATAGGAGTTGGGTGGTATGTATGTACAAGTCCCTTAAATTATTATGAAAATTTTTTTGCACTATCATGAGTATAGGCAAGGCAACCTTGCAAAAAGGAATGCGGGAGAACTGAATAAGCATTTAACATTCAAAAGATAAAATAACTTCTAAATTTTTTATTTTTAGATTGGAGTTTTCACATACCAACCACTTAAAATATTGAATATAATATTTTAACCACCAAAACTTTAAATATAATATTTTAACAACTTTTTTCATTTCAGCCACCCTTTTTTGCCCAATAGTGAAGGCTTTGGGTGAAATTTTTGAGCGTTTAAAATGTTATATTTAAAGTTTGGGTGGTTAATATATTATATTCAATAATTTGGGTAATCGCTATGTAAGAAATTCCTTTTAGATTTTAATCACATTGGCATTTGGCCCGTTTGAGCAGCTTTATTTTGTTGAAATGCAATGAAGAACATTCCACTCAATATACACCTATTAGAAAAAAAACACACGCGCACAAATCAGCATAAGAAAATAAAGGAAATCACATCGACTATGATTGTACTGATGGAAAGTGAATGAATTGCAATGAAATCCCAGCAAATTATGGATTCATAATGAATTTGAAACCATTGATTTAAGCTTATTAACTCTTTTTTAATTTCTTTTCACTCAAATTCCTAGCATCCAAACAATACATGGTTTCCATTAATATCATTCATTTTAACTCAGCAAGAGTAACCAACAAAACAACTCTTTCAAATATGAAAGCTTTCTTGACCAAGTAGAGTATCCATTCACATAATTCCATTCAAATTCAATTATCATGATTCAATAAAATTAGTACTATTTATAGAAATTATTATGCACAAAAAAATCGATTAATAAAAAGAGCTCATCATCTTATTCAACAACTAAAGTGATAACATCTAGATATGAATTTCTTCTCAAGATAAAATTTCTTTGGTACAATGTTATCTCCTATGGAACTCTTCTTCTTTCGTCTCCACCATGCCACCTCCAAAACAAACTTTTCCCTTATTTAGTTCCTCTCAAAAATATAACGAACATTATTGGCGCAAGCTCAAATATGTAAAATTTGTAAAATAATAATTTAACAATATAGTAATAAAAATTTTCCATAGAAACTAAAAACTACGAAAAATTACACATCAATTAAAAATTAGAATGCAATAAAAAAATCCAATTTGTTGATCAAATCCACTACCGCAAGCATGCTAATAAATCAAACATTTAGAGCCAAAAAGGAGAAAGAAAATGACTTACAAAAATAGAGCTCTGGGCCAAATGCCAGTACAAGGGAAAATGTTCATTCCAACAATTTATTCACCTCATATCATTCAAGAAGATCTTCAAAAATATGTTGCACTCGATCTATGTAAATAAGATAAATCAATGAATCATCACATGCATTCATGTCTTTCCATTTGATAAGATATTTTAAGTATCTTCCATAACAGACGTGACTTAATCTCCCATTCGAATCATTTAGGCCCATGAAAAAAAAGAAATTGGACTATTTCTCAATTGTGCATTTCCTCTTTATGCTGATTTTCTATGTATCATTCTAATTTCATCTATAATAATAGCTTTAGATATAAAATTAATACCAATTTTTGAAGATTTATGCAAATAATGCATTAGATGTGGATTCCAACCGCAATTTCCAACTTATAAGCATACATTTGAATATACTGCATGATTTTATATGGCCCTACCTTTCTATATATAAAATACCTAAAAGCTCATGCATAAAAAAATTTAAAATTAGATGGATCCTTATTATCTAATCAACCCATTTAAATTCCATATATCTCAAATTTACATCTCCATTAAACTTATAATTGTCATCAATAAACGTAAACTTGTAACAAATACTTTCATGGAAATGACTAAACAATTATGCAAATACAATAAAAGTAATGAAATGGTTCCTAATGAAAAAAAAAAAACTTGAAAGATAGACAAACCACAAAAATATAACACATTTACATAGACAAACAACCTCCTCAATATCTTCAATTGCAATTACTTCATTTATTAAACTTTTGTAAAAAAATTATTTTACAAATCAGGCCTAAACAACCCAAAAATTTAACGATCAGCAAGGTGAAATAGCAGAAAATCAAGCATCAAAACACGCAATTTTAATAGAAATGATTATGCAAAAAAATAAAAATTGATTAATAAGCAGCAATTTTAAAATAAAGAGTGCTCATCATCTTATTCATAAACTAAAGTGATAGCATCTAGATATGAATTTCTTCTCAAGATAAAATTTCTTTGGTACAATGTCATCTCCTATGGAAACTCTTCTTTTGTCTCCAACATTCCTCCAAAAAACACTTTCCCTTATTTAGTTCCTCTCAAAAATATAACCAACATTATTGGCACAAGGTCAAATATGTAAAATTTGTAAAATAATAATTTAACAATATAGTAATAGAAATTTTGCATAGAAACTCAAGACTACAAAAAACTACACATCAATTAAAAATTACAATGCAACAAAAAATCCAATTTGTATTAGTTTTGATCAAATGCACTATCGCAAGCATGCTAATAAATCAAACATATAGAGCCAAAAAGGAGAAAGAAAAGAATTTAGAAAAATAGAGTTGTAGGCCAAATGCTAGTACAATGGAAAATTTTCACTCCAACAATTTATTCACCTAATATCATTCAAGCAAATCTTCAAAAAAATGTTGCACTTCATCTATGTAAATAAGATAAATCAATGAATCATCACATGCATTCGTGTCTTTCCATTTGATAAGATGTTTTAGGTATCTTCCATCAATGACAGGCATGATTTAATATCCAAATCGAATCATATAGGTCAATTATGCATTTCCTCCTTAAGCTAATTTTCTATGTATCATTCTAATTTCATTTATAATAATAGTTTTAGATATAAAACTAGTACAAAATTTTGAAGATTTATACAAATAATGCATTAGATGTGGATTCCCAGTAAAGAGTTAGAATGAGAAAAAGAAATATAATAATAGCTATACTAATATTAGCTACCAACTGCAATTTCCAACTTATAAGCATACATTTGAATATACTGCATGATTTTATATGGCCCTACCTTTCTATATATAAAATTCATAAAAGCTCATGCATAAAAATTTTAAAATTACATGGATCATTATTATCTAATCAACCCATTTAAATTCCATATATCTAAAATTTACATCTCCATTAAACTTACAATTGTCATCAATAAACATAAACTTCTAACAAATACTTTCATGAAAATGACTAACCAATCATGCAAATACAATACAAGTAATGAAATGGTTCCTAATGAATACTAGTCAAGACATCATAACTAATTTCTAGAGAAAGAAACAATGAGGACTTACAAGATAGACAAACCACAAAAAGATAACACATTTACACAGACAAACAACCTCCTCAATATCTTCAATTGCAATTACTTCATTTATTAAACTTTCATACTTCATTTATTAAACTTTAAACTTTCACAAAAAAATTATTTTACAAATCAGACCTAAACAACCCAAAAATTTAATGATCAGCAACGACAAATAGCATAAAATCAAGCATCAAAACACAGACAGCACCTAGAGCATCAAACCCTAAACCTAAACTAAATTCATCGCCAAAAGTAACAAGCTTGTATAGAAAAATAAGCTGCACAAAATCAAAATAGCTACCTTCTGCGACGCAGAAGATCTCTCGAAACCCCCCTTCTTCTACCTCACGACTTACCATCCGCCGCTCGCCGGAGAAAAGACGGTAGCCGAGCGGCTAACTCTCCTTCAACAGCCAGCGTTCGAAGTACGCTTCCACTGTCATGCCTCCATTTCATAGTTTCATGGCGGTGGACCGGACGGCAAGCATCTGATTTGAATCACCGGAGAAACCCTCGGATTCAGAAGGGATTTACGGGTTTACCTCAGCAAAAAGATTGTTGTTTGGCTGAGTTTCGGATCCCAATTGCGAAGGTCTTCTGGAGTCGTCTTCTGCACATTGAAGTCCAAGTCTTTTAACCGTGTCAACTTCGGTTTTAAGCTCATCACAGTCCTGATTCCTCCTGGAAATTTTTTTAAATAATTATATCTATATATTTTTACATTTAATTTATAAAAATCAATTATTAAATTTATTTCAATATTATTTTTATATTACTATTGGTTGGCAGGATTCACTATAAGTTTCTTCAGGTCATGATTTTGATTTTCAGTGGCACTGAGTTATAGAATATTTAGGCAAATTGTGCGGGCTCTCATCATGGGGCCTAACGCATGAGAAATCGGTATTTGAGCCTCTGTCAAATATTGATTTTCTTTTTAATATATATATATATA